GCAGCGAAGCCTAAAAATAAAGGAAAAAGAATTTGAGTAGAATTTTTTCTATCAAAACATTCAATAAATGATTGAATAGCAGGTAAATAATTTTTCACAATAAACATAGGTATTTCAGGAATATGATGTTCTTCAAATACATGGTCATGATACCGATTTAATATATCATAAATATTACCAACATTAACTTCTGAACACTAAATTGAATAAAATATTTTCTCTTTGTTTGTTTCTTTTTCAACATACTTGTACTTCACATAAATAAGTAATACAATACTCTTTCATTTCATGCAAATATTGTAAACTTTCAGTAGAATCTATAAAAAGATTCGGTCCAGTTTTTTCAAGTTTCAAAACATCAAGTTTTACGTGCTTCAGTCACATTATAATTATATGTTTCAGTCAAATATCGAGCACGTGCTTTAGCTTCTTGATAATGAGTTACTTTATCTTTATCAATACCTTCGCATAAGTCTAAACAAAATCTAGATCAATAATATTAACAAATCATTATTACCAGAAGGTATTGGTTGAGCTTTCGTATAGATACGAACATGTTTATTAGGACACTTTGATAAACACTGTTTTTCTAATTCTTCAAATACTGTTTCACGGTATGATACAGTTGGATCAGAAATTTTAATTAGAATACAAATATAACTTTCTTCAAGGTTTTTTCAAGAAATTTTTAAATGTAATTCACCAGTACTAGCCACAAAATATTCCCTCGATGCTTCATGACCACATTCAAGAAAAAAAACGCAAATAAAATAGATAAAAAATTAAAATAATAACTCACTTGAACTATAGAATCTTATGTCTGTAAACATTATAAACCTTCGACTACTTTTGGTAAATCAATTGGATTTATTTGTTCAACAGTAACACGTACAACATGACTAATATTAAATTTCATTACACGAAGATTGTATGCATCTTCATAGATTGTAATTGTACTAGTTTTAATTAAACATTTGTCAGTATTAACAAGACTACAAATATTACCACATGATACATCTTCAATTGGTTCAATATAATTACCCATCATAAGAACGGTTCTAAATATAATAAAAATTAATTGTCAGAGATAGATTTCATCGATTCAAAAGTCTTTATCATGTAAGAAACGTTGTATCTTTCGACATTATTTATATAAAGATCTATTTTTCTGTCCACCACATAAATAGGACCCTTAATACGTGCTGTTTGACCTGTTTGAACTACATCAGAAAAGACACGACCAAAAGCATAGAAACGACCTTTATCTAATGTTGGTATCATATTTAAGATGTACATCATCAATGAATCCGTTGAATTACATTGTTGAATACTCGAAAATACTTCACCACCTTGTAAAACTACAGAAGTCAATTAGATATAATTTATAATTATAATATTCATGTACTTTCATAAAGAAATTCAGCTCGATATTTTTGTGTAACAATAGATGATGGTAAATAAATAATAATCATTGTAAGAAGAACATTATCAGCTGATAACCATTATTTCATCACATGTTTTAATAATCCTTCACTACCTTCTTCTTCTAATTTATCATAATCATCATTTCGTAATTTAATATTTAATTTTTCAACTAATTGTGTATATTCATCTTTTTGATAATTCATCATAGCTCGAAACAGTTTATATATAGGGTCAAGAATAAAATGACAAAAACCACGAATATAACTTCCATCATTTGATTTTGACCATTTCTTTTCTGTATCAGAATAGAAATTATCATCCCAGAAATATTTCATGAGTTTATCAGTTTCAATGTTAAATTTTAAAGCATACATTTCAACAAAGTCTTTAAGTGTAAACGCTCAACCATGAAGACTACTACCAAAACCAACTGTATCTTTTGCTGCATCAACCTGAAATAGTCATTTATTCTAATATTTTATGAAGATTGTTTTTGATTTGTAAATCACCTACTGGACCGCTATATGTAGCAATAATACTATTAAAATTTTCAATATTACGCTGAAATATTTGAAAAAGATCTTCTTGTTGAAGTTGTAATTCAAGTAAAGCATGATCTATTTTATTTATATATAATATTAATTTAATACGCTCACTAATAGCTTGACGAAGAAGAAGTTCAGTTTGAGGAATTGAGTTGAATTGAGACATTATTTGGCTGAGTTACTCGCTCTGATGGTGACTCAATAGACGTCATTGTCGAATCACATATATAAATCAGTCGGCAGTGTTGTGCATTGGTTATTTTTTCGGCAGCTATATATATAATGAATAGATGACCTATGTATCTTTTTTTTACTGTGAGTCATCACTCAATTTTAAAATGTGGTCAAAGTTATACATTTGTTTTTATTTGTTGGTTTTTTGTAGTTTTTCGTCAGTGGCATGTATTTATTTAAGATACTATTAAATTAATGTGGAATGACATTTACTTGTTATTTTGATGTATCAATATATGAATGATATTTAGGTATTTATGTATGTTTACGTTTAAAAAAGTCTTAATAAATTTGTTATTTTTATTTACATTGCACAGAATAAAGGTGACAATGGAATTCAAAATTTAACGTCATGTTTCTAAAAAATTCTTAAATTCCTGAAATAACTGTGCTTTTCTATGAAAGTCTATATGAGTTCATCTTGGATTTTCCAACTAAAAAATCGAATTTATTGTTTTAATTTTCTTAGTTACGAAGTTTTTATTACAGCAGAAATTCATCATTAAATAAATAGGAGTTTTTACGAATATTAAAATTATGATAGATAAAAAAAATGATATTTTAATCAATGAACTAATGAAATAAGTTTTTCTAATAAAAGTTAGAGCTGCTTTGTATTGTGTTACAGGTATTGAGCGATTGTTTTTTCGAGTTTGTTGTACATGAACGTTTAATTATTGTGAGCGATATGGATATTCTTGCGATTGTATTGGATATTCCTGCGATTGCAATGGAGTATGTTTTAATGGGGATGCAAATAGAGAATTCGGTAAGGCAATAGGTTCGATTCGATTTTTTTTTCTATATTGCGAGACGACTAATGGTGCATGTCTTTGTGGAGATGAGATACTAGATGTTGCATTAATATTAGACGCTTGTGTGTTAAAAAATTGAGCAGTTTTAGAATTTCGTGGTGGTTGTGGCGTTAAAAATCCCATATTTATATTTCCTGAAGCAGCTGTTACAACGGGGAAACGCGGTGGAATAGCAGGTGGTGGAGGTGATAAGGTATTATCCTCAACACTAGGTGAAAGATCCATAGTATTGTCGTCTACGTCCGTGTCAGAATTAGATTCAATTTCTGTATTAGTAACAGCTGCTTCAGTTTCAAAAGATAATAGATAGTTTTGAAACGAAACGTTATATTTCGCTAATTTATTGATAAAATCAGTAACTATTTTTGGATCCGAATTTGGATTAACTTGAGTTTTTGTAAAATATGTTGTTGCTTTATGAGCACCATTAATCCTTTCTTTAGATAGTTGTCCTATATAAGATGAACAAATAAAATTACATTTGTCCGAGTCAATTAATATGCTAGCTTAGTATGCTACTATTTCTTGTTAGACAGATAATTAATATTCGATTGAACTAGCTTATATTATTTCTTTCTTGCAAAATACCTAGATTAGTTGTTAAGTGTTAGAAGGAATTTGGATATCCACAGTTCCATATTTGTTGTCTTTTTTTCGTCTCTCATCTACTGATCTATCTAAATAGTCCGCTAAACATTTAATTGTTTTCTTTTTTTTTTAGAAAAAAATAAATGCAGTTTATTTATATGATGATTATCTTTAAGATAAGGTTAATGGTTTTATCATCAATCTATGTTATATTTTGTGGTAAGTGTAAAATACATTAACATACCGAGGCCTTCAATCTGCAGTTTTTGTGCAGCTTCACGCAAAGAATTTGCTTTGTAGCCGCCATGCTTACTACTTATGTTGGACCATGGTATTTTTGTACCTTTGGTAAGTAAAATAACCTTTTCTGGAGGTCGCGACTCACTTCCTTCACCTAAGCGAATTGATGACTTTGATACTTTTGATCGGCGAGATTCCACAAGAGTTTCTTGATTTTTCTCGTTTTGCTCCTGTTCGTGTTGCTTTTGTTCCAATCTCTGACGCATTTCTTGTAACGTTTCATTTATTGGACCTCAAATATAATAGTATTGAAACAGAATTATGTTTTATTCATAGGGCAATTTTGTGAGCAAATTATTCCAAGTGTACCAATTTTGTTAATAACTTATTAGTAAGTAAGGCATCATTTTCAAAATGATATGATAATAGATACGTCATGCTACGTTTACCTGCGTCTTCATCAAAAAAAGAAAATTAAATTCTACTTTTTTCTTCAGCCTAGGAGCACAAATTTATTCAGAACTATTAGTATTAAGACTACTAAGAAATGGTCAAAATCAATTGATATATTAGTCAGCTTGTGTGATAAAGGTTCAGAGAGACTAGTATATTAAGAGCATTGAATGAATGTATAAAAGCACTATCAAGACAAAACAGAGCTAAGTAAGAAGGAGAAAGGCGAAGAGAAGGAGAAAGGCGAAGAGAAGGAGAAA